ATGTTATATATTTTCTGAAAGCTTATTATACAAACTTTGTAAAACTTATCTTTATTTTAAATATCCAGAATGCTTTTTTGATTTTGGGTCAAAAATGTGCTTTTTTGAACAAAAGTGGTTTAAAAAAAATTAGCTTAAAAACTTCAAGTCCGTTTGTGGGTAAAATTACATCACTGGATACCTTGGTATACTACTAATACAAATGCGTCCACTCATCTCTCTAACGGCTTTCAAAGTCGCACAGCATGACCTCAAAGTTCACTCTTTTCTATTTTTGCATAATTTATATATCCATGTTAATTGCAGACTTGTTATTCGCCGTAATAAACTGTCCGGATGCATTTTGAAGGGTGAACACCTTGTTCAATAATGTGTGAAAATTTTGAGGCAAATGGCCAAAGCGTCTATCAGCTATTTTAATTTAAAACCCAAGAATTCACCAAAAATAGAAGACGAGAGAAAGGCTAATTTGCATATTTGCGCGTTAAACCGGGAATTACTGCTTTGTCATACTTTGTCATACTTTCTAGACTATTGAAGTTGAAAGTTAACGTATAGACATAGACATTTTATGTAAAATCGTTGGATCAGAACAACTGCTCTTGAATATATCAGAAACACGTCGTTCATACCAGTGTTTTGATGGGGTCGGTAAAAACATGTGTCAATGCCCAGTAAATATGAAGTCATCTCATGAATTATTAAACAGTTACCAAAAACAAAAAAACTGGATGGGGACTTGTCATTGACAATGACTTGTTTATTCAATGCAAATTAATCAAAAAATATTTATCTATATGTTTACTCCATCAGTGGTGTTACTTCAGTCTATAAAACGATTGACTACTAAACACTTCGTTACATAAAATAAACCTTGCTACTAACTAATTGGCATAAAATGAATATTTAATTACATGTATACAAAGAGCAACTATTCCACTTTCAATTTGACTTCTATCTACCAGTCATATTTCAATATATCTATATAAAAGGCAATATACAAAAATACCTAGTGTGCTAGATTTGTTACATTAAAATTAATGGAGAATAAAGGAAATCACAAAAAAGTATTTTTAGTTGTCAAATTACTGAATACTGTACACAATTGCAAAAAAAAAATCATCAATTTGCTATAAATGTTTTCCTATGTTAAGAGTTCCCTCTTTTCATCACAAATTCCAAAAAAATGGTCCTGTTTATAGTCTGCACTTTCCTTCAGAAGATTGGGACAACAAAAGCCAATATTATTTAGTAAAAACAGAAAAATTACCCAAATTGTGTCTGTTGGCTCCAAAATTAGGGTTCATTTCCAGAAATATTAAATAAAAACATTGTCAGCTATTGTAATCACAAGCAATGTTAACAACAACATGAACAGGATTCCTTCAACAAGAACAACGACTCAGTTGTGGCCTACGATTTCGGTCATATCTACACTTATTTTGTTAATAAAATGTGAATTTCATTTTACTAAATTACAAATTCCATAATTCCAGCAGGAAAATCTGATTAAATCAGTGGTGTGTCATAGCAGCCTAGAGGGCACAATTTGCATATGTTGGTAACTCAGTTCAAACTACAAATTCTAATGTAGAGAATTGATGTTTTCAATCATAAATGTATCTCCTAAAATATACTTTGGTGAGTTTTGACACTGAAGTATGAAATGTTCAAAACAATAGGATAAGAACTTTTTGAGTTTTTGAATCGTAAGACTGTTAACAACTATAGATAAAACCACTGACATGGACAGAATTCTGTTAACATTAATACATTCCTTTCCACTTCAAGACAAAAAATATTCCCTTTAAAAGTAGCACTCGTAGGGGTATTTGCACAAACATGTGAGTGATACCTGAATTTGTGCTAAATGCATAAAATATAACTTAATGGAAATTGTTGGTGATCGATTTAAATTCCTATTTTATTGTTTGTTTGAATCACATTTGCTAATGCTTTAGAATAGTCCTCTAAGGATTCACAAAGATTCGCCTCATGAGTGAATCCATGGAATCATCAAATATTTCCTGCAATTTATTCATATTCACATCATAAAATAATAATTTCAGAATATCCCCAAATAGGAATTATCTCAGATTGCAACTTTAAGAATGCTCCGTCTAATTTTGAGGATGTGAAAACAGTGCTACAGTACCGAGCATCTATGCACGCGATCATCAATGGTAAGGCGTCCTTATTTTGGTTGTTGCCCATGGCAGTAGCATCGCTCGATGATTGATGGATCCCGAATTCAGCAAGAGGTAGAATATCTCTACATGTGTAACAACCGGTGGAGTGTACATTTTCTTTGTCACTGTTAGTGAGTGTGATACAGATTCAATGGGGAGGTCAAATTAATTTACACAGTTGTATGAAACAAGGAAGAGAAAGATCGACACTGGTTGACAAATTGTGTCCTAAGCATCAATAACAATATATGCTAAAAACGCAAAGTCTCCCGCTATGGCCATCTGCTGCACGTGCAGGTGACAACTTTCCTACTTTAATTAATATCAAAATTTGAAAAAACAATCACTCCAGTAAAGAGGCATATCCATAAGAACAAACATGAGAAAAACCTCCAACAATAATATTTAAAAACCAAGAACTCTTACATACACCATGGAGGTAAAATATGCATATACGCTTACATTAAAATATCTGTAGAATATTTATGTTGGAATTGATTTGAATTGTATAAAATTTGTTTTCGTTTTTGGACTGCGTCCGAACGGGGACTAAAAAGGTATATTCGCTTGATTTATATTTTGTATATTTTATGTACTAGATAAAAGGAGTATGAACCTTTCTCTTTTTCATCTGTGGTGGCACAATACCACTTTATTATAAGATACTTTAAGGTATGTTATATCTAAAAACAGTAAACTGGAACATCATATCTTCAAAATTCAAGATAAGGGGACTGAATTTTCATAGTTTTATAGTTTATTTATATAATTATTTATTTAAGCCTATTGCAAAATTGAAATTTAATTATGTAAATTACAGTAGTGTTTCTATGGTGAAAATAAATACATACAATTTAATATGTTAATGATTCAGCAGTGTGATTTACCAGTCTATCTACCGTAATCTGAATATACATACATGTACACATTGGAGATGTGCTTCTAATAGTCTGGGGTTATATTATTCGGGTTAGAATTAAGGTTATCATCCTTCTTTGGGCAAGTTAGTATTTCCAATGAAATATTCCAAATTTTAAGAATGATATGGGGAAGGGGGTTAACTTTAGCTTATACTGATGATTCATATTTATTCTATTACTTCACTGTTAATTTTTGTAGTAACCTTAACTAAGACTAGTATAGTATTCTCACATTGAATGAAAATTAACGACAAAAATAGATGTACACAATATAAATAACGGTACAGCTTTTCTTTTATTTATGGCATGTACTCACAAGTACAGAAAATAGGTATTTATATTTTTGCTATTTAATATCTTAAATATGTTTGCATTGAAGGTGCAGAGAGAGGAACAATATGGTGCGCGAGTCCCATCTTTTTTTAAACGCCTTGCCAACACGAAAATGGTGGGGATGGTGTGTGTAGGTGGGGAGGGAATCGAGTGCGTTACTCAGAAATTAAATTCTTTAGAAAGTATAAGCAGTCACATTTGCAATTGCAGGTATAGGACTGACTTATTTTTTATTTTATCTAATGAAAATATATTTTTGAAACTTTTCATCAAGATGATCAAGAGGATGATAAATTCTTAACAAGCAGTCTCTCGACTGAGATAGCTTCACTATTAGCAATGCACAATTCAATTAAAGAACTGGAGATATCATTAAGAAAATGAACAAATCTGAATAGAGGTCTACCCGAGGTACCTATATGTATAGTATCAAAACATTCAAACTTGCTGTTTTCAAAGAATTCGAAAATATCACTCTATATACCAAAAATTACAAAAATATTCATACAAATCAGAGAATTGAAGATATTATCATGAAATGAACAAATCTAAGAGAAGTCACATGTAGTACCCATGTATTTAATATCAAGGCAATTGGACTTGTGTTTTTAAACAAGAATTAAAGATATCATCACGAAATGAACAAGTCTAAATACATACATGTATACACCAAGTATCAAAGCAAAAACCATGTTAGTTTTCAATAAAAAGTGATAAAGTTGACACGGACGACGACTGATGATGACGTACAATCACTCATATGATAAGCTCCACTCGACAAAGTCGACAGTGGAGCTAAAAATATATTGTTTGCTTTGTTAGTGACTTAGAGTGACTTACATGTATTTATGTCAATGACAGGGGCTTGTTTATGACCAAAATATTTCATATTTTATAGAATTGAAGCATGCAATATATGCCAGTTTAAATTCACTTCACCCGCCAAGGTCTATTTATTCAGCCATCGCCTTACCACTATACCTTGGTAGATTCCATGATTCAGTGAGGCCTCTGTACCGGTAATTCCACAACCCACCATTTTGTTTTATGTCCATTGCCACATGCTCGGACAACTCTGATAGGGAATGTACATGTTTTAGAGCCGTGTCAAAACAGTATCTTAGAATCCCACAGAGGTTTACAAATAGTAAATGTACGTTTTCATTGAGTTTACATAACTGTACAATTTTGATGATAAGAGATATACATTTGATATTTACATTTAAAAAAAAAAAAAGAAAAAAAATTTGTGAGCTTTGACAGTCTGTCATAGATGATGCTCGGATGAAAACAGTGAGAGTGTAATATACGGTGCAAAATAAAATGTTGCTTAAACTTGAATGACTATTTTTACAAATTGAAATGATCATGGAGAAAACGGTGCATTTGATATTAACATGTGGTGGGTGACCACAATGATACATAAAATAAATTTATTTTTTCTGGTAACAGGTTAAAAAAATACTGGGTGATTGGACAGGTGGGTAGCGGGGATTGTGTTAACCCCCATATTCTGCTTCCCTGCCCCCCCAATATTAGGGATGCACCCCCCAAAGTACAAAGTGAAGACCCATCTGTACACAGAATATATTGTTCCAGTTCATTTTCTCATCAGGACCCGCTACACAAAAACACTGACGCAATCCCTGGTAAGTAAACATGGTATTTTGTAGCTAATTTGCATATTGAAATAAATAATTTTTGGATCTTTTGAATAAAACATGCCCTTTGATTTTCAAAGAAATATGGGTAAGTAGGGATACCAGAAACCCTGAATTCATCATGTACTTTGGCCTTGATACGAAAAGTGTCACTAAATTTATACAAAATGTACATTATTATGTAAATTACGCATTCCTTCACTCAGATTGGAGCCTGTCTTATCAAATTGTATTGTAATTTTGATGTGGTCAGCATTTTTCATCGAAGGGTTTTAGTCTGAATATGGACATTGGAGAAAAACAACACGTGATTATATTCGGGAAATGCAGGTGTACATGTGATTGCGACCATGGCTATAAAAAACAATTATTGAGATCATGTGTACTTGAAAAAAAAACAATCTTTTGTGTTACTGAGATAGCCAGACTTGGACTTTGAACTGACCCAAAGTGAATCAACAATGACAGTTTTTTTAATACACATTAATTAATCATATTTATTAAATATTTTGATTACGTGGATGAATGTACATAACTGTACACCACGTCAAACGAATTTGACATTGAGAGTATCTTTTGTATGTGTGTGTAGGTTATTATACACCGGAAGTCACGTGGGCGTGGATTTAAATCACTTTAAAACATGCGTACGTGTACAGTTCATTCGTAATATTTATGAAATGTACATGCACACCGGCAGTATGTAAATTAACAAACAGCTGCGTGTTTAACGTCATCACGTCAGTACACTAAATTGAGTTCGAACAGCTACTGTCAAATACACGTACAACCTATTATCGTTTATACAAAGCTCCCGTTAAAAAAAATACCGACCGTCAGGTTGGCCAGTCCCGATTGAATATAATTACGATTGGAGTATTTTACATACGGAAGAGGGGGGTACCCAATGTTGTAAGGTAAGGAAGTTGGGTCAAAATATGACACTAATAGGTTCGTCAGACGACAGCCCAGCAACGACACAATGGATTCTAAAATACACGTATGTATGTTCATTCATCATAGCGAGACATTTTATAAATTTATACTAAACTGGTTTAGCTTACATACCGGCACGCCATACTGCAATGCGAAGCTTTGCAACGTGTCTTCGTCTTCGATTTTACGTTCGATATACAATGGTTCTTCTGGCTCCACGTCGTGAAAAGTATTTGTAGCAGATCGTTTCTTTTTCGCCCCTCTCGGCCGAATTTGTGACATTTCGACCTCCGTGCCGTTGATCTCGCCCGCTTCGACGTCTGCGTCGCCGAAAATATACACTCGAGCATTTTGAACGTTCTGGACTTGTCCTGAATTGGAAAGGTACTTATTGTGGTTGATTCGGTGATTCTTCTTTTTTCTCGCTGACGATGATGATGAACCGTGGACAGAAGGCATACGAGAGCCATGGCGTAAAGGGCGACCGGCTACACTGCTATTCATACTACGATCTCATAAGCGGTTTTCGGTCAAAATCTTCAGTACACGCCGAACAAGTGATTCTATTCAAACATTTGGCTATGTTAATCTGCTGTCATAATCGGAGGTGGGGTAAAAAATGGTAAAACCTTTCCAACCAAACCGACGAACGCCAAACTTTGATGATTCCTGTTATCAGTACGCATGCGCCTACGTATTTTCACAATTAACACACGTGAGGGCGCTGTCAAGGAAAATCACTTTGTTACACTAGAATGTTGCGGGTTGGTAACATGACAATTTACTACACAGACATGTGAAGGTAATCGTACTTTTTCTGGTACAGGGCCACCACATTGCAGTGTGAATGTAGTCTAATGTCTACATCGGAACCACCTATTTCACCAAAATAACTTGAATACGCAGATTTCAAATACTAGTAAATTTAAATTTTTAAACTACTTAACAAAAATATTATTTTCATAACTCCTAGGGAATTTGCTCATTCCATTTTTATGAATTTGTGTTGGTCCATTCAAACATGGCATGTCTTGTCACCTGCGACGTTGTTTACTCATATTATATTTAAGTTCATCTGTCGCTTGACAGTAAGATTGTTCACTTTTTAAAAACCTTTTAAATATATGAGTTTTGCCATACCCATTTTAAATATTATTTCGCGCTATTTGCATATTTAACACTTTTTTTTTTGGGGGGGGGGGTTAAAGTTCACACTGCGCTAAGTGTTAAGTGTTAGTACACATGTACCCCTAATCGAATCCTTGGCAGGATCGTAAATTATTTACCAACTGCGAAGACTGCCCTCAACGTTTCACATTGTGTTTCGGATCATGGTCGGATCAACAAAGAATTCGTTCTCGTCATTTTGTTTAGTAGATTCGGAAACAGGAAAGATTCACATTTCACTTCACCAAATACTCTTAGTTTAAACTTTGGCATTTACTGGATCATCAACGTGTTCTAAAATTGTTATTCCGATGTGACTTGAAGAATAAAGGTTTTAATTATGCGCATATCGATACGCACTACTTATTCAAGATGACAAAACAATAATTAACTGTAAGCTTCAGAATATATAAAGATTTATTTACAAATCTGTGACAATTGTTTGCCTCGTACCTCAGCAAATAATTGTCACAACAATAAGACAAATCTTTATATACCCCCAGTTACAGTAGATAATTAGTTAATGTTTACCAAGTAAAAGACGTGTAAGTGAACAGTAGTCTGTTATTCACGGAAGGGAAATGAGCTTTTTACTATACCAAAATTCTATCTAACCACGATAAGTGGTCAATTATGCATATGTTTTTTTTTCTTGTTTTGATGCAGGTCAGTTTTATTATATGGCTCATATTTCACAAGGACGGCGTCGAATGACGTCAATAATGCATTGTATTATGTGATATGTGATTACGAGGGACGAAAAAAGCAACAAGACAATACAGTTAGGAAAGTCGCAAGAGGGCGTGGTAAACGGAATGACGATGCACGCGATGCGAATTGAACACGCGTGAATATGATACGAGCCTAGTGTTTGGCTGGCCATTGAATTGTCAATGAATTGAATAGCACTTTCTATTGATTGTTACGGGTTATTTAAGATCAACACCCCTGAACCAGGAAGGTCGATATATTTACGTGTAATTTGTCAGTGGCCGGAGCTTGACCCCGACATTGACTTTCATTCGGTAACTAGCCTCCTAGACCTGACCCCATGCAGCGATTATGATTTGTTTCATAACATTATTTTATCATTATTAATATTATTATATTGTTATTCTGCTATTTGTCATTATTATTTGGTGTATTTGTGTGCTTGTGAGGGGCGGGTACTTTTAACCCTTATATACGTCAATATGAATTACTTCATGTCTCTAGTACTACCATTGCAAACTTTAAGTTCCACATGATGCATTTTAAGAGAACGCTTCTTTGAAAACTAACATTCAGCTTATTTTCATGTTGGGTGTGTATGTGGCTTCTGTTGGTAGTCTTATTGAGTTTGCCGGTAACCGTTTTGTAGCATTATATGCAGTTTTGTTCTTCTGTCAAATATTTGAAACTAATATTTTTGATGAATGTGCCTTGGGATGGTCTTCTACATGGGATCTACATTTTCCGTGAATGGTTTGTTGGGTTACTGCTATTTTCAGAAAGTTATCTGCAGTTGCTATTTGTTATGTATGGTTATATCTTCTTGAAAGAAGCTACATTATATGCCAGGTTTCAGTCTAGTAGACGCGTCCAATAGAAGCGCACATTTAAACAAAAATTAAGATACAGTTTTGACCATACACGCACCCTGTCATTTACGCATGCGCTACTAGAACAAAGTAAACACACTGCCAGTGCGCGGCTGATACATTATGCATTCAGATTTCAGATATGCAGTTTTTCATTTTTGCGAGTACGTTTGTGAACTTTAAGTCAAAGTGTTTTAATGGTTCATATTTGAAAACTTGATTCAAGTTTGTTCATTTGCTTACAATTTCCAAACTACAGTTGGCGTAATTTATACGAGTAAAACATAAAAACGCGCATGATAACACATACTACTAGGCAGTCATACAAATGTAATGCATGGGACCAACAAAAATGAAAATAGACATTCACTGTTACTTGCTATTGAAGCAATGTTATGGCACTGGCAAGTTGGAAGAAACTGGCCAATAAGTAACTCAGAAAGAGTACATGGATCTCATGTCATATTGTTGCAGTACATTACTAGTAAGGATCCAGCAGCTGTATGCCATACACTGTAGTGTAATTTGAATACCAGTAATCTAGCCACTTATTTGCTACCTACACTGTACTTTATACTATGTGTTCAAAAACGAAGTCACTGAGTTGACGCTGTGTGAGCGTGTGGTATTGATAACATCTCACTGCTTGGCACGTAGTTTATTCATAACATTGGTATGTTTTAGTTGTGGAGTGTCAATAACAATTGTTTAAAATTAAAAATATAATATGCAACAATATGTTGTTCCCTGTAGTGTTTTTGTGATGTCAAAATGACGTAGATGGTCATTGCTCAAATTGAAAACTCTACTGTAGATCTTTACTCAAAAATGAAATTTATGACCAAAATGTAACATTTAAAGTTGACAGATATGCATGTAATTATAAATTAAAATATTTAGACGGCTTATTTTATTTGTTCTCCACAAAAAAGTATTCAGTGTCCAATTATAGATGCAAAATCCAACGCATGTGTAAGTTCTCTGTCATTGGGATAGCTTTCATCGAACCCACAATCATTGCATATTTCCGCCCATGCTATCAACAGCATACAGTTTATGGAAAGACGTTAGACGATGTTTTCTTCCAGTACCGAATCTTTACAACCACCACTGCACATGGAATTGATTTAAACTGTAGAATCAGTCTGTTTGAAGAATCGACTGTAGAACCAGTCTGTTTGAAGAATCGACCATATTAATTAATGCATATATTAAAAAAATTACGTAGTAAAGTTATTTAAAGCTGCGGTTAGAATAATAACGTGCCATATAACGATGTAGTTGTTATAGATTGTTGAAGCGCCGCCAATGGCGTTTCTGTCGTCGCAGTGTTCAGTCGAGTTTCCCAAACAGGCAGCGTACTTTATAACATGGGCGATGTAATGTTGCTCGTGTGTTCCGTGGAACAGATGGGCCATTGGACCATCGGCGTATATTGGTATGTCCTCGCCTCCATGGCTTTCGTCCTTCAGCGGTATAACAGCCTGCTGAACGTATGAACTTGACTCTGATGGAGAAGTGAAATAAAAAGTTATTAATCTGTTCTATTTGGCCTCGAAAATATCCATATGATTCTGCTCAAATTGGTTTTCTAAAAAAGGGTGGTGAGATGATTTGTTTTTTTAGTGAAATTATTTTGACGGCGCACACATTTTGCAAGTTTAATCAATCTGTCAACAGAGGGACTTATTACAACTCATGGTTCCGATTCGCAGCGCCCTCTGGCGCCGAAGCGTTTCTGTGATATCAATAATGTTTTGTATGGTCATTTAAAATATAGCGAATATTTAAAATACATCTTTTTATACAATGAATTTATATAGAAACAATATCGGGCTGTCTCAACGTTTTTTGCACCAATTTACGTCATGGTCGCTAGCGGGCGCAACGGTGACCGTGACCGTTCACAACACAGTAAAATGGAATAGAACAACAGTGAATAAAATAATCAGTTTTAACCATACAAACTGGAAATCAATTCACTGTACCTGTATCTACATTGGTTATATTTGGCCGTGTACCATTTTCCATAAAGCTTGTCTGCACTTCAGTTCCACCGGGTCCGTCAACGTACATTAACGTTGTATACGGTAAACCATCAAGTCCAACTCTCTTGTCATTGACCCCTGAATAAATAAAACACGATTACTAAGATGCCCAGCGGCAGTAGCATTTAAAAGTTGTTCATTTCCACTTGCCATGATCCGCAGAAAACTTCTCACTGGCCCCTAGAAGCATTATAAGGGCTTTGATTTTGAACGGTTCAAGAGAAATCGTATCTAACAAAATCCTGAAATCAAATTAGAAGTCCTTTTAAAATACGTGCAAAACGCGCAGTTTGATGTTTGATTTGACGATTAGACACTAATGACGAGCTTCAGTGTGGGCTAGATTCCGTGCTCCAATATTTCAGGATTCGTTGCCATGCCAACTGATTTTATCATTGTCCATGATGGGCACAATAATCAATACACAAGCAGCCTGTTGGCTGAGATAGCTCCGCTGTTAGCAATGCACATTTTAATTAAAGAACTGAAGATATCATCACGAAATGAACAAATCTGAGAGAGGTTTACCTGAAGTACCTATATGTATAATATCGAAGCAATCAGACTTGCGGTTTTTAACAAGAAGTCCAAAATACCAATTTTTACCAAAAATAACAAAAATATTCACCAAAATTAGAGAATTGAAGATATCATCACGAAATGGAACAAATCTAAGAGAGGTCTACCCAAGGTACATATACACCAAGTATCAAAGCATTCAGGCTTGTAGTTTTCAAGAAGAAGTTGAAAAAGTCGACAGCGAAGCGAACAAGACTCATTTACGAAGCACGCCATATTCTTCCATCTACCGACAATCTATTTCACTCACGTCGTGTCATATTTACAGCCAGGGTAATTACAAAGAAAATACTATTTGACACAATGAACCCGCGAATTGGTGCAAGTCTGGGCTGTTAAGAATGGGCTGTAGAATTTTAGAAATAATAAAATTTCAACAGACGAAAACAATTTTTTTTAGAATTGAGTACAAAATTAATGTGAATAAAATATAGCGTCAGACATGTGTGAATACAATTGCATAACATACAACTCCTCCTCCTGTCCCCCTGATTTAAAATTTGTAACAGATGTCAGTAATCTTTAGTAAACAGGAAACTGAATTGTAACATTGTAACAGTGTATTACTAAATATGCGCACACGAGGAGTGTGACCTATACGAGTCCTGCTATGATAGGTGTATAGTATATTTCACATAATTTTGTTGATTAAATTTATCAATTTCCTTATCTGGAAGCCCTCATCTATTTAATGTCCGTATATTGGACAGATTTGAGAGTAAAGAGCCGAAGAAAATTGACACTCTGGCGACGAGGAAAACAGACTGACGTAACATGTACTGATGAGAACAATAGAACCTTTATATGTCGTATTTGGTTGGAAGAAGATTTTCATATTGCATTGCTGATGACTGAACAGTCGGGGCAGCCACATCTCCGTCTCGGATGCGAGTCACTGCGTTTGTAATTCAATCACGCGAATTTTGAATACGCGAAATTTGAAATTACATATATTTTTTTTTTTTATTTATCGTTCGCAGATATAAATTTCAGAAGGGGTCGTCACTACAGTTGGGAAAAACGTTGAAATCTTTCATTTGCAGGTAGAAGGGAAACTGACCACACCAGAAGTACATGCGGACGGCACTGTGAATGATCAAGTGGGTTTCAACATTTTTTGAGATTTAAAAAATAACATTTATAAATATTTTAAAAAGAGTAACAGCTTTTCCTTACAAACGTATATAAACCAAAATGAAGAAAATGATCGTAGTTGGTTCGGAGTTTCGCGTCTGCTCGGCCTCCTTAATAACTCTATACTGGCAAACCCATCGTAGATATACATACCAAGTATAGGATTTCCTCTCGAAGGATATCCTACTATCGCATTAACATGACTGTGGTCGGCTGTCACAATAGTTAAGGTGTCCGTTGAACTTGTCATATCTAAAACAGTCTTAACGGCGTCATCCATCGCAATGGTGTCAACCAGGGCATGGTATGCAATGCCGTCGTGATGACTGTGATCAATTCGTCCACCTAGATAGAAAAATATAATGAAAACGACGACGTTATCGGAAGTTGCACGGTGGTATACATATTTCCAGATTTCCCTATCACGATCAAGAGTGTAAAATCTATCATCGCTTTTGGTACAACCAACTTCATTAACATTCCATTATAACTGACCGAACAAACACCTCTCAAAAGTGTTTCTACATTGTCAGATATTATGCCAATGGTTTATGTACCAATTGCACAGTTGTGGCACTGCATGTACATCACTGCTGTGTCTCGACCGATTCGCATGACATTTTGTTCCACGAAGTAATAACTAACCTTCAATTAAAAGTAGGAATCCCTTGTCATTTTTCTGTAAAATCCTGACGGCCTTGTCTACCATCTCAGCTAGTGTCGGTTCCCCGGCGATGTCCTTGTCTCTGTTGCCATGGTACTGCATGTGACCGTTTTCAAATAAACCTAAAAAAGTGATTTGCAAATTACATTTTGTCGGTGTTTGTGTTTCAAATCCAAGCAGTTCGTAGGGCTGTTCTTGCTCAGGGAAATCTCAGCAAATTTCGGCCTTTGTTTACACCGGTGATGTTCGTGAAAATGCCTGGATGTCCGCCCCGATAATGCAACCTGAACACGGGTAACGTATTTTTTAGTGTTAAGAAATTAGAATGTTTTTAACGCAGATTTACACCTTGACAGCCCAGTACATATTATTACGTGTTTAATCTCTTAACGGTTAACAGATGCATCAGCTTACAGGAATGTAACTACAAATGAGTGTTTTTACCTATAACATGGAACTATAGTTCCATGCCTATAATTATGTGAACATATTTTAATCTGAAAAAAAGTTAAATTTTCGTATGATCTCATATTGAGACGTCGAAAGTCGTTGTAATTAATTTTTTTCATAGCAAATTTTAGTACCGCAAGTGAAAAAATCACCAAAATTGATAGGTTATTAATGATCGGGAGTAATGTATATATCTTCCTAAACGTCCACGTTCAACCCGTAATCTACTGAGGATGATGGTTTATTACTCACCAAGCAAATAGTCGCTCTTAGACGGATCCACCGCGTCAAACTGTTTTTGGTTCCAAACGTAGGAAGCGTTACCATCTTGCGACCGCTTGGCTATCCACTCATCAATCAAATTGCGTTCATCGGTACGGGCGCCGAACGAATTCATATCCTCGGGATCTCGCTCGTCTATACGAAGGAAATGCTTCCTGCCACCACCAAGCACCACCTACCGGTAAAGATGACATCAGTAGTCAGTAAAGCCGATGTAGCATATTCGGGACATAGAAAATAAAAAAGAGCTTCGCGGCCCGACAAGTTGGTGTTACTTGAAACAAGTCCTCTATCCAATTCAGGGAATATGGAATAGAGATTGGTGGCGTTGACTGACCTGAATGTCCTTATCCAGAAGTTGTAGCGCAATATCGGTGCAGCCGTGTAGCCGCTGCTCCACTGGAATTTGGTTGTTGCTCTCCCATTCTCGTTCGGCTGAGTGCGCATATGCACAAGCCGGTGTGGCGTGTGTGACCCGTGTGGTTGTCACGATGCCAGTAGATTTGCCTACAAGAACAAATAAAAAAAGAATTGCAATACAGTGAAGTGTTGTTTCAACCAAACATTTTTATATGATGCTATCACATGATCAGTAAATGTTAAAATATGTCCATAGCAACGCTGGATTTGATATTAAACATTATAAAAAGAAGCTTACCAGCTTCATGCGCTAATTGAAGCACAGAAACCACAGGAGAGCGCAGTCCCGACTTGCAATCTTTTCGAACAGCGCCATCATGTACACCAACGACACCCGCTTTTGTTTTCACACCGCATAGAATTGCCGTTGCTGTTCCCGCAGAGTCCGCTACTTGCTGATCTGTGTTGTATGTCTGAAAAATCAGGCGAAGAAAATAATTTTATTTTTGTATATGCATATTACATTCACCGTACCAGCAAGATTCGCGTGCAGTCGCATTATTTGGACACTTTCTGATAAAGGAGGTTCAGCCGAATTGAGATTATATCTATTGTTCTTCATACTTTCATTAGAATGTGTTCATATCGTCAGGACAACGAAAATGAAAAAAAAACTGGTTCACCAACAATTATTCGAGATACTTGAGCCTAAACTATCATGGAAAATTGTCAAAATTGGTATTTTTACACTAGTTTTGGTGATAGGATTAGTTTTTCATATCTCCAAATTTTGCTCGGTGCCATGCGATGAAAATTATTATTGACATGGAAAAATGACATTTAGTGAGTTTTCAGAGTGTTAACAGTTTTCCATTAGATACAATGGGACGTTATCTTCCACAACGCATTGCGTACTTGTGCAGTTAAATGTTCATTAAGTGCAAATACAAGAACACCGGACCGTCCGACACATTGCTGAGACAAACATGAACTGTTATGCCAAGTGTAAACTGGCGTAAAAAAATGTATGTTTCCACCGTTGATATAAGGAGAAGTTACAATCCATACCTTGGCAAGGGCAACGTACGGCAGTGAGTCCATGTGCAGCACTGTTTCCTCGCCTGTCTTCCCGTCGAGCTGTCCTTTCAAAATCCGAGCCGAAGTTATGGTCGGGAAACCCATACCATCGCCCAGAATTATAACCACGTTTTTGGCTACATTTCTATTCAGTGTTTCTAATTTCAAAGCGTTTCGAAGAGTTTGTTCAGCTTGCTTATTCCATTCTTCGGGTGCTGTCAACAAAACAAAATAACACAAAAGAAACACACATTATATTATCGTTTTTCTACTGTTCCGTGACAGTTTCCTCATATATGACAAAACATGAACACTTTGCATGTAATTTCTGGTGAACTATTAATTAAAAGCAAATAAGTGATGTCTCAATGAAACGACCATAGAACTGAAGCTGTGATCACAGTAGTGTGAATCTCAACAAAATGGCCACCAGTCGACCATTTTAAATTTAATCTGCAAAACAAAGTCATATGCATCAAAGAATGATAATGTTCAATGGATTTACCGGTATCGAGTTTTAACGAAATCAATGCACATGGGAGCGAGATCCGGTTCCGAAATGGCAAAAAAGCTCGATACTAGTATATTCAAGTGCGCCCTCTCTGGTAATACTAGAGAGATTTTCATCAAAGCGTTGATCAATCAATTGCTCGTTATAGCTGCAACACGAACACAATTGTACGGTAGAAGATTTTCTTCCCAGCCAGAGATTGAGCTGACATTTTACAATCTGTTACTTGATGGCTTAAAATCCAACTAATTAAATCAATTCAATTTATTAATTTGTCCCCCCCTCATTTTCACTATATCTTATAACACTAAAGAAACGCCAGCTATGAAATAAACAAATAAAACATAGTAGTATAAAATAATGATTTCAATAGTTTGCACAGACCGACCCATGCTGAGTCAGAGGCTCCGCACCGGACCCCGCGCTGTAGGTCGAAGGGACTGAAAAAAATGCATCGGCAATCGACAACACAACTCTACTATACTATATACTGTAACAGTGTTTGCAATGTCGAACACCTCTGTTCAATTCGCACATTAAGAACATTAAGATTGTATTTATACAGTAGACTGGACGTTTACTCTGGTTAATTACATTTATATGTAGTTTGAGGTCATCCAGGAAATTAATCCACATTACAACCAATTAGATAGTCTGCAAAGGTACGTACTCTCTGTTTGAATAATAAATTGATTTGTTTTTCCCTGAAACCAGACACTTTCCTCGACGTAGGCCAACCATGAGGTGATCACCACATATTGCAGCGAGGGGCCCGATGACACAAGTCGTGCCATCATTGCGAGACACATGAGCACTGACTAGGCATATGGCATGGCAGTGTCTGAAATTCAATTAAATGACAACCTCATTCCAGATTCAAAATTAGAATATGAAGACCTTTTAGTTGTCCGAGATAGCACAATGGCGATGTTATGATATATACGTTATGACTAAAATATATCAGATTAATTATTTGATGATAAATTTAGCACAACACGTATACATGAGGGTGTCTTTATCACATGATTAATATGTTTTAATGTGTATATCCGGCAATACCATATGTGACCATATCTCATATTATAAATAACAACGTCGTAAATTCATGCCAAATGTATAGACTATTAAACTCTACGTGGAGTTCCAGTCGTTATCCTCGGGGGCGGAGCTACGTCGCAGAATGTTCCGCGTTGCTAAGACGCGCACCACTTCTGCACACCACTGTACCGTGCATTTCTATGGGCTCTGTGCGAGCTGCTGTGGAACGCAGGTCAAAGACCGGAGAAAATAGCTAAATTCGAGAAAACAGTACAAACTCAACTTCGAAGTAATCCTGAACAACCAAATTTATGTATATTGCACATGCAGGGCTAATCTTGTTACGCTGTTCAGGAGAGTCTCAACAACTATCCCAAAGTACCGTTTTCTGAGAGTTTTCGGCCATTGTTTTCACCGCGATGGTTGCCAGGCGGTGAAAATGCCTGGATGTCCGCCCCTGAGAATACGCCATACCACTAACGCCCAAGTGCGATCATAGTAATGCAAACGCCACACGCACGATTGGAATGTCCCAAGAAATGTAGTAATATTCTGAGTAATGCTAAACGTTCATTGGCCAGCTTATAGGTTATGCGCGCATAATCTCGCGATCGCCTCTATTTATGTTGACGTCATATTTAATTCAACCAATTAAATAGCGACCGTAGCGTCGTAGCTCGGCGTTGCCAGAGGCGCGACATATAAGGAGTGAGATTACGCATACATCTAGGACAATCGTCAAGTAAATGCTGGAAAAGTCTATGAATGTAGGCGATTTCACCCCCGAAACAATTCTAACTTTGGGAATCTTTGTTAACAGATACTCGCCCGGGGTAATGTACAGCGTTGCTGCCTTGGGGACAACACACTACTTGATATATTAAGTTCAGCATAAGAGCTTCAATGATCTGCGTTTACCTCCATGAATGAACATACATGAACATGTTTAAAATTAGAAAAGACGATTTCGAAATATTCAGACCTTCTGTGCTTAGATCTAGTAGCTATTGTCTCACCGGGTGCCTCATTTTCTACATTATACACTGTGATGTAATAGTGTCACATACTTCATTCAACAAATACAAGCGAGGACAGTTAAGTAATACCCAATTTATCAGCCATCAAACATCAAACTGAAAAATAATCAAGAAACAAGAGCTTTTTTTTTAATTTGATGAATGCCAGCGCGTATCGATAAATAAGCCCTTGTGTCAACATTTAGCTTCTTACAGTACGCTGGCTGCGAAGTTCTAGGCAAGGTCAACATAATTTCACCATTTATAAATCACTATCTAATTTTCAGCTTTTTTAAATTTTGCGTTAATCCACCAGCTACAACGCGGTCGCTGATTGGCTACCCAAACTGTCAATCACTTGGTCGGTGTATAATAATTGCAGGGCAGGGATCGCTTGAATAATGGGCTCGACTGCCTATAGACCATAATTCGGCCATAATTTAAACAATATTTAATGTGTGAGGAACCCAAGCCGAATCCAATATGACTGTGGGGATTCATTATTGTTGTTATAATTCTCTCCCATTAGAAATAAAAAAAAATAGTTAAATTTGGTCGAAGCTTTTATTTAACAAGCTATGACGTCATACAAAAACCGTAATTCTGATAGTGATTTATAACATACAATAATGGGAAGTGCATTGTCCTTCATTCCCTCTAATTCTGTGACGTCATTGGCAAAGAACGTTTGTACACCAGCTCAACTTTCAAAGCATTTAATATTGTATTGTCCTAGGTATACGTTGTATACATGTATATAACGGGAACAAAATGCTACAGACATGTAAAATATTGCACGCCATTGTTTGTTTAAAACATATATTAATGTCAGTCTACTACTAAGCAAACCATTTAACTGATTAATTTATGTACTTTTACTGTTGTACAAATAAAAGACAATAAATCACTTTTTTCGGGAGTCATAAAAGCAACTCATGGAAATTCGTTAATTATTTGGGTCATTCGTTTCACTGATAACGTCATGAAATATAATGAGGACAATACTTTAAACGTATAGCACGCTCAAATTAAGTCTAAATCTGAGGTTAGTTAAACGAGATGAACAATCAACTTTTTCGCAGGGGTTCGTGCTAAGGGTAGGTGACGGGTAAATGACGGGTAGGTGACGGGTAAATGACGGGTAAATGACGGGTAGGTGACGGGTAAATGACGGGTAGGTGACGGTAGCTGACGAGTCAATGACGTGTAAATGACGGGTAAATGAAGGGTAGGTGACATGCATGCAAAGGTGCGTGGAGTGTAAGGGAACTTCGACACACTTGGCACATAACTCCTACACTGGAGAGCTACCGGCTGGATCGACCCACATAACACACACTTGACATAATCACAGCCAGTCTAGCTTTATTACATACTAGCCAGCCAGCCAGTCACCATGGTACCCGACTTACAACTAAAATTGCTTACACCACTGTTAAATATCTAGGCGTATGTTTATCCATCTAAAATAATGTATCCACCAATAGCTGCATTCCATTGAGGGATTACGTTGTTTCAAGGTCTCGATTCTGAAGGTTTCGTGAATGTTAAATTATAATTATTTTATCATTTGGTGTGATGTACGCCTATAATATATTTGCTGTTGACGATTCATTGCTTAATAAATATCGCGGGAAAGCAACATTACGTAATTCTATGTCAATACATTTGTATTTAATAGAAAACAACAATTTATCTTTTACCTCAACACGAAAATTACATACGAAATCCTATTAATAAATGACTAACTGTATTAATCGGTCACAGTCTTGTTGAGTAAGTGGGCATTCCACGAAGTCATGTACAAGGTCAATGGTGTAAAAGGTGATATCAAGACTTTGGGTTGTCATTTGGGTAAGAGTTTCTTATGGCCCCTCATCCATAATGCTAACCTTGCCCCTCAAGTGCCCCTCCCCATTTCAATTGTATATGCCCCTCTCCAGGACACATTAGTTATCTGGAGGGGCATTGACACTTACTTTGGGGTTGATAGTTTGGGTTAGGGTTTAGTTTAAGGGTAGAGGCCTTAATGAACTCTGAATATACATTTATTTTAAATTTTATATCTACCGACGCTATAGTTCTGTGGATAGGCAGGCGTGAACTCGAGAGTGTTGATGAACATTCCCGTAAAAGTAACATGAGTATTGAACCACACTGCACGTACGCGGCGATAGGTGCATGTACAAATGTGTACAACACCCACCCCCATCCAACGCCGGGTTTTGAAATAACGGAGCGCACCTTGTCAAAATCGAAAGATTTAAGTCTAATTGTAACATACACACACTGGAAACCTTAGAACAGTTCCGTCAACCATACCGCGGTATGCTGTATTTACCTCCCCTATTTCCAGCCATGGTCACTGTTAGTTAGTTAAAGACTTGCGACCGTCACCGACTGCCAAGTTTATAGTTGTTTTGTCAGAAAGTGTCTAATAGTGGGCTGCCTAATTAGGGGCGAGTATAACATTATAACATAGTGTGTACTCACGTTGTGCGAAAATACCACAACAACTCAAAACCAGTAACAGAATCTTTCGCTGTGTCGTCATCTGCGTAGCGTAACTCTACCAGAGTGTGACGATTTTAACGCCCGTCTCGTGTCGTCTAATCGATTTCACGACCCCAAATACAGTAATCGATCTCCACCTTGTTTACAGCATAATATACAGCTGTTTATTAGTGTCACCGCGAGTACGACGCGTGGTGGAGCTGTGTGTTTGACATGTTTATACGATAAGAAACGAGGTCAATTACAGCACAGACGTCCCATTGATATTCAAATCGTGATTGCAAAAAGGTTGGATATCAATAGAGGGCGTTTTAATTATAAATGCGTGACTTGGGACAGCGAAACTAGCGTACGAGCAAATGCTCTTATTAGTATGCAATACAACAGGCCGAATATATTAAAGTGAGATTCTAACTGATCCCGTATGATAAAACGGGAACAGATAGTCTTACAGTGTGAGGCATGGGGACAAGTGATAATTAGTTTAATTGTAGATTAATCATTTGTTTATCTTATGAGTTCGTTTTAAACCTTTTAAATTTGAAAAACTACCTTAGGCTGGAAACCAAAAAGGGTCGACCCCTACCCTGGGTGAGTGTGCCACAGACTCAATGGGAAAGCCAATTTCACTGGCCGCGATTCATTCACTAAAGAATGCGACCTTGGCGAACCTTGGTTAAGGTCTGCAGGTGCTTGTGTTCGACCGAGCCTGGTTGACGCCAGGATAGCACATTGAATTGCCATTCGATAGAGAGATGGCCGCACATCCAATATATGTATGGTCTCTGTGGCATAATTGCACTATGTGTCAGTACTATCACTTGCAATTTTTACACAAAAATTCAGAAGAGACAACAGTGACACCCACTGCACGGAACTGTCGCCTGGCACAAAAACATGAACAAAATGATGATAGTCAATACGTTGGAAACTTCAATTATTATTGAATGTTGATGCGTCAACGGCGGAGGGCTAGTAAGTTGGTATATCTCACATAAAATTACAATTACAGCATTCTTTGAAACACTGATAACACAGGTACTCGTAATATTGTAGAAACTACGAGTAATATTATCATATAATCATTTATAGACAAAATACAACAAACTAGCAATAACACGAGCACCTGTGTTTTTGTGCGTATCATGGCGAGTGTGCAAGACATGGAAGTAGAAGATGCAAATATCAGATGTGACACTTTTTTTAACGGATTGGCGTTATTTTGCTTGACGTTGTATATAATACATGTCGCATTTCTTTGTAATTAAAATTTTGTTTCTATACTTTCACTAAGATGAAATGTGAAAACGTTGTTTTTTTCTAGTTAGTTCCCTTCTATTGGTGATTCCACCAACATCCCGAGAATGACCACGCATTTCTATATTTGCCAACAGACCATAGCGGTCCACCAAAGAAAGCAATCAAGCTAATAGTTTGTAAGAAGACAATACAATATAATGTTTTACGAAAAATGAAAAAAATATATTTGCTAAAAATGAACAATTGACAGGAAATGAGCAAATCTTGTACCTATACACCTACAGTCAAAGAAATCGGGTGGTAGTTTTTGAGATGAATATATCATTTTTTGAAATGGATAAATATTTGAATAAATATTTGCTAAAATAGAGAAAAGTCTGTAATCAGTAAAATTGTCACAAAATGAATAAATTTGACAGGTACCTACATACCAAGTATCAGATCAATTGAGCTAGTAGTTTTCAACTAGCCGTCGAAAATAGCAGTTTTGACTAATAAAGGCATCAAATTGCAAATTGACAGAGAGTTGGCCGCAGAGCCATGTCATGTAGTCCTGTGAATATGGTTCCTGTTGCCAAATGCACTATATGCATTTCAGTATGAACACTGAAAGACAAGACAGGGGTGACAAATATAAATAACGTGTCTTAACCACCCGTATGAGGGCGTCCTACGACTAAATTTTCCCTCTTTCAGCAGAACCCACGAACATATGGCAGATCCCTGTGGATGACAGGCTGATATACTGTAATCGACCTTTAGTGAATTTTATGAAATTCTAAAAGCATTTTCTTGTTTGCAAGACTCATTTTTTCAACTCATATATGTGCTAATACCACCAGCATGCAACAATCTACTAAGCGATTTGTTGTTTATATTAACCCTCATTAAGTTGACGTGGTAAAAATTTTGAAACAAATTAAAGAAGATTTGAACTGATGTTGATGTGATTTGAAATCCTCATACATACTTTAAATGGCATGATAAATATTTGCACTAATATTATCGATTAATCAATCAATCAATCAATCAACCATCTTGCATTATATTTTTGTACTGAAATATTGGTAAGCTAAACAATTGAATTAAATGCAAATTATATGTTCATTTTAAAAATGGCAACACCTATTTGGGACGACTTGGATTATGTTTTTTTTTTGTAGCCCAGTGACTATTTAATTCAATGACCATGCAAAAAAGAGGACTATCTCGGATTAGGTCAACAACTGGTCCAGTACAGAGAAAACTTTAAAGATTCTAGAATATTCAAGCGGCAGGGTCGTCAACTGCGCACACGAGAAGTTAGGCCCAAGCGATGATAACAACACAGGTTAAAACGCAAAGGCTCATGTCTGCAAACAATGACACGTTATGGCCTTCTGACACATACGCAGGCGACGACTCCCCCGCTTTAAGATTCCATAGCCATTTCTCGGTGAATTTGTTTGAATCTATGCTATATTTCTCATTGGTTGATTACAGTAGATATCTTCATACTATGTATGGGCAGTTTAACCACATGTAATCGAAGTTGTTTGTAACCACATTGTTTTTGTATCGTAATATCCATAGCGAACATTATTACAAAGCTAACTCCTCCAATACCTAACTCGTCGGGTTGAATGCCTAAGCATGGATAGTCAATATAAAATATATGCAAATACAATGCAATACAAAACAATGCATAGTCCGTTGTTTGTATCATCCCCCCATAACACTTTGCATATATTTTACCGTGAAAACCTGCCTCAATATAAAACAAATTACGACTACTTTCATCTATATTCACTCACTAACTATTCGCAAAATTAAACACATTGAAATGACAGTATGCTTATTTTGTTGTTCAATTTCTGAGTACCTACACCCCGGGGGCAGTTGATACATAGCTGGATAGGGAGGTGCACCTGAGTGCTCAAAAGTGTGACCATTTTTATACCTGGATATAGGCAAAATCTATACCCATATTTACACCAAAGTACAATTTCTGTCATCACTGTTTATTCCAAATAAAACAGTTACCGTATTTGCTCTTTACAGTTGAATTGTATATTGATTTATTAAAATGATTGCCTTGTTTAATTTCCGGGTTGATGTATATATGGATCTGAGGCCGGGATCTGAAGTGGAGATATTCGCTCATATACGGACCCATAAGTATACTAAATCGGAAAAATATTACTGATATTTATACCAATCTTAACCAGAAATAAGACCGATACTTATACCTAAAATCCAAAAAACGAGACCCATTTCAGGGGCATGTCCCCATTAGGCAAGTTCTATGTATTGCCCCATCCCCGGGACCTATACATAGCAATACTGAAAGCAAAGTCGCAGTTAGGTCGAAACATGTTGTATGTTGTTATTAGGTGTTAAGCTAATCTCGACAAACATACATACAACCACACAACTGCTAGAGAGACTCTATACAACCAAAGACACTAGTGCCTTTGATACAACCAACCAGAAGTGTGGGGGAGGTCTTTAGATCCACAAAATGACACGATTTGATAAATCATGAAACCTACACCGACAGAAATGTCACACGGATGCACACTATGTCAAAGGAGTAGATGACCTGTGGTAGCTACAATAACGCCCACGTAGTAAAACCCAATGGCAATAGCGTTTTGATCTGCTGACACATTAAACATTTAAGTCACAATTACAGTAGCGCATTGGGTAAATAGAAATAATTTCAGTCCTGTTGCTGATACATTCTTTAAATCAAAGTAAATCAATCATCGCAAATTCTAGCGACAAAGACCAAAGTTTGAGTTCAATCCAACATATATTCTAGATATTTACGCGTGGCAAGGTTGTAAATATATGCGCTGTGGTTTATTTTGATATAGGTGCTAACAAATGAGTCCTTCTGGGACAGCCAATCAAAGTACCAGCATGTCAGGAATGCGGTGCTATGAAATGATAAATTTAGAATTGAGAATTTTCCTGCCTTTGCCGAGGATTTGTGATTGATAATATTGACAAAAACATTAACATTTGAGAACTATTGAGCGTATGTACAGTGCTCCACTG